CTCTTAAGGCTGCTTGACTTTCGGATAAGATGGTTATTTTTTGTTTCCGATAGTTCCTATCTAAGATAAGACGTACGCATCTTTTTATAGCGTAGATTCTGCCTCTGGAGTATGCTGGGGTATATGCATCAGTATATCACGTTTCGGTATGGTTTTTTAACTGCTGAGTAAACGTTTCTCTCTTCCAATTCTTTTTGTTGCTCAATACTACAGTGCGGTGTTTCTCAAACTTTTACATTCTTGGTATTTCATCAAATGTCGAATTCTCCTTTTGAGGTTGTTCCATGCTCCTGAACTGATAATTCTCCCAGTACTGTTTCCGTCAATGACCATTCTAATCAGTCATAGGCATGTCTACCAATGACAATGTGCATTTGATCCAACGCACAGTGTTGCGAAAATGGTAATTTTGGGGCAAAAATCCTAGGGCTTTCAAATCAGTCTTTTTAATTCTTTTTGGCTATATATATATAAAATTAATACCGAGGTCGGCATAAGTCAGGCAACCATTCATCAGGTTATAAATAAAAGATGATTAAAAACATAAGGACACAGATTTTAAGTGCGTATTTAAAAATATTTCATAAAATCGTTTGTCCTACTTGCTTTGTTTTCTAGATACAGGGTGTATTGCGTTATCCCTAAAGCTACGATAGGTTTAACTTTTTGGTAAATTTAGGGTGATAAACTTATACAATTTCTGTTAACTATTTTTAATACACTTCACTAACAGCAAACATAGCAAAATAAAACTTATATAAATGCTATTAAAGAAACAATCTGTTACTAAAGCGACAGCGAAAAATGTTCAACACTTAATGCTTTATCGAATAATTTTTTTATAGAAATATAAACAAATTTTTGTGACCTGAAGGCATTTCTGGTAATGATTTGCTTTTTTTTAATAAGTACAGATACTTTACTGCTAAAATACATATTTTCTAAATTCGACTCTAACTTTTTTCGTATTTTTGTCCATGGGTTGGCAGTGGTATAATAGAAAAAAAAAACAAATTTGCTTAACCGAAAAAAATGCTATATCGCGGTTTTGTCTGATTAGTTTAAAACCGCCTTAACGTATTAATCGCATCAAAATTTGACATATTTATCAACAAACTAAGGATCCCGCAGGGCCTAACGTCCGCAAAAGCGATCGGAGACGTCGCAGCCGAAACAATAAAATCGAAGAAAAGAGAATTTCGAGCCGTTTCCAAACAAATTACGGGCGGCACCGCGCGACTAGCTCGCCACCGCGGGGTGCTGCGGCGCCCATAAATTACCTGAACGGGCGGTGCGGCGTCCTATTTGGGAGGCGAAAGAAAAATATAGTGAGTCAGGACCGATAAATATACGAGCCGCTTGATATTTATATTCGGGTATTAGCCGCGGCACGTATACACGCCAGACAAAGTTTACAGGTAACAAGCTCGAGAAGGAAAACACTGTAGAAACATTTACCGATGCCTTCTTTTAGCCACTCAGAAATACACTAGATTGGATTAGATTTTTAAGATTATTAGCCTATTCTACTGCGACCATTACAGGTCTATTGTGGTCCTAATCTGATCTCTAGATACATTCTCCCGTCGAATCCATTTTAAAAAGCCTAAATAAATTTGAACCGGGAGATTGAACTCTCTATACAGGGTGAGTTTTGCAGAATGTAGAATCTTTAGGATAGGGGTTAATCACCGCGACCTTGAGGATCTATTGTGTGTTCCCCTTTCTTGAGTTATAACAGGTTAAAACTTATCATACAGTCTCAGGGCTTTAATAAAAGCCAGTATCTGAGAAATCGAGAATAATTGAGAATTATCTCGTAAATTCTGAGGAACTTTTTCGAGTGTCTTAGACCGTTAGAGGGCTTCCGTTACGGATGGGGTCTTCCAGGTCCTTCAGTTCCGCTTTTAGTTGGTTTCCGCTTGGAAAGTAGAACGGTTCTGATCCAGTTAGTAGAGTGTTCGCTCTTTTTTTAGTTAGATCATTTGCTTTTTCATTGCCTTGTATTCTTTGGTGAGCGGGCATCCAAAGTAGGAGCACTTTATTTCCTTTACCTAATTTGTTCAGCTTCTCTTTTTGAATTGATGGTTACTGAGTTGATCGCATTGAGTGCTGCTTGACTATCGGATAAGACGACTATTTCCTATTTTCGATAGTTCCTATATAGCGTGCTTGTTACTATGTGCACGCTTTATTTTTATCTATTTTTATTTACCGAAGGCCGATAGAATACTACTATACAGGGTGCTACAAATTCGAGGTACGAGCATTCGTATCTCGGAAACCGTAATAGATACCAAGATGGTTAAATTGGAGTAAAGTTGCGCCTTGGGCTGTTCAGCAAGATGCCATTAAAAAAGTTTTAAAAATTTCAAGGATTGCTGAGTTTTTTGGAAAAAACGGATTTTTTTGAAAACTAATTTTATTTTTTCCTGTCGTTACTTTTTAGAAAATCAAAAAACTAATTACACATTCTCATAGCCACTTTATTAGGGCTATCTGGTAGTATTTTTAGATTTTCAAATTAGCTGATGATTTGTGAGATACAGAGGCCAACTTAATTTTTTTAAATACGGATCTGCATTTTTTATTTCAGATTTTGAAAGAACTCAGTCTCCTGAGTACAATGATATGCCACACTTTATACTTTTTTTTGTTTTGGGTACCTTAACAGCAACAAAACGGTTTAATTATTATTTAAAAAAATTTCAAGTCCGACTCTGTATTTTAAATTATTTAATCTGATTATATTCATCGCAACAACATTGATCAGTGCGAATTAACATTGAATAATCAAAATAAATTAAAATAATCAATCGACAGATTTAAATAAATAATATCCAGAACAGCGATTTAAAGATATTATTTTTAACTTTTCTTATTGTGAATTTAAAATTCTCAGTGTACGATCTAATAATTTGCATAATATTAATCGTAGTTATTATGAATAAATTAACTTCTACAAACTAGTTTCTAATGCTCTACATAGTTTACATGTTCGAAAGGTATACCACCCTCCCTTTTGCACAAGTTTATTTTTCGTTCAATTTTATTTATAGCTTTTGAATAGATCTCCTTCTTATACTTTCCAATGCATTTTGTACTCTTTATTGTAACTGCCGAGATGTGTTGATTTCGCGTATTTGTAAAATTTGGACCTGTCGAATTACTTGACGTCATCAGACGGTCCAGGAACCTCGCTGGCCGTTATACTGCTCTACCATTTCCAATCCATCTTCTGGGGAAATGATTTGATTGTTATCTGTTATATTATATGTTATATTACATTTTATTTATATTATTTTTTATTATTTTATTGCATTTTATTTTCTGTATTCAACCCATGTTACTCTTTAAGTTTGAAAGCTTATCAATGTTGTAACGATGAATATACTAAATATAAAAAACAGAGCCGTACTTGAAATTAGTTTAAAATAAATTGGTCCAAATTTCCAAAACAAAAAAAATATTATGTGTGGCATATCATTGTACTCAGGAGAGCGAGTTCTTTCAAAATCTAAAATAAAAAATGGAGGTCTGTATTTAAAAAAATTAAGTTGGCCTCTGTATCTCACAAATTATCAGTTGATTTGAAAATCTAAAAATACTATCAGATAGCCCTAATAAAGTGGCTATGAGAATGTGCAATTAGTTTTTTGATTTTCTAAAAAGTAACGATACGAAAAAATAAAATTGATTTTTAAAAATAACCGTTTTTTTCAAAAAAGTCAGCAATCCTTGAAATTTTTAAAACTTTTTTGATGGCATCTTAGTGAACACCCCAAAGCGCAACTTTGCCCCAATTTAACCGTGTTCGTATCTATTACGGTTACCGAGTTACCAAGTACCTCGAATTTGTAGCACCCTGTATTCTATCGGCTTTTGGTAAAATTATTGTAGTTGATGCTAGAAGTGAGGCTCCAACATCAGAGAACGCCTTGTCTGATAAGTTTAGAGGACCAAATACAAATAATCTTTTTAAGTTCAGACAAAAAATTAGGACAAATTGTGATTTTTTTGTGAAAAACAATTTTAGTGCTCTTAATCTTAACTGATATTTTATTGAATTTTTAGATAAGATATATTTTTTTCGTAATTAAGGATTACTTACCTTTGTTTTATAATAAGTATACCGGGTAGTTCCCAAAAGTGGCTCACCTCTATAACATTATTTCAGATAAAAAATCGAGATTTGGAGTGTTAGTATATGACATAAATTAGTACTGATATTCGTATTCATTTAGTTTTGGCCACTTCCTGTTTCACCGGAAATTACTACAACATTTCATTTTTAAATAGCACCCTCGGTATTTATGTACTTCATTCGATAGAAAATAACATTCTGAATAGATTGACATGTCATATGTCAACTTTTGAAATATGCGCTTAAAACAAAATTGTATTTTAAATTTCAATCTAAAGTGCTATAGCTGTGTTAAAAACACTAATTTTTAATCAAGGAGCCTTGGAAACATAGATCTGATCGTCTAATATTTTTAATGTCCTGTCCTCAAAGGCTGCTTAAAAGATGCCCAAATTGTATTTTTAATCATGTCTCAATTTTTTTCAAATGGATCGAGGGTGGCTTATTAGCATATTTGGAAAAAGTATTTTTTACGAATAATTTGGTACAACAAACGAAAATATCAAAAGTTATAGACATATGATGTGCCATTCTATTCAGAGTGTCATTTTCTATATACTTTCTATATTACTACGAATAAAGTAACAAAATACCGAGGGTGCCATTTAATAATCAAAAGTTGTAGTAATTTCCGGTGAAACAGGAAGTGACCAAAAACAATTAAATACGTCAATCAATCCTAATTTATGTCATATCCTAAAATACCAAATCTCGATTTTTTATCTTAAAAAATAAAGAATTATAGGGGTGAGCCACTTTTGAGACGCACCCGGTATAAAGAGATTGTCCACTCAAATTGTGTTTTTTAAAGTCTTTCAGTTGCGATTACCATTACAAATTGAAATAAAAAGAACGGTATAATTTTAGCTATTATTATTTATTTACTGGAATTCATTTTACATAAACAAAGTGAATGCAGAAAGAACAATAAAAAAGTGCAGTCCTAAAAATATTTGTTGAACTTTATTTAAACATTTACTCATAGTCACTGTGTGCTTTAATCCAGTCCAAGTATTTGGGAATGTACAAGTAAGTGTTAGGTACTATAGGACACTCTTCTGTAGGCGACAAAACTGATTTCGGTGCATAAGCTATTCCTACTACTTTGCCGTTGACAGTTAATCCAGTACCTTGATCTCCATTGCAAACGGCAACAGGTCCGCTGGTACAAATCACTTTCTCGTCAATTTTATATGATGGATAAGTTTCTTGACAGACGGAGTTGGATACGACAGTCACGTTGCCTCCATGTGGTAGCTAAAACAAAATATTATATTTCAAAAAACTAGTCAATAAGTTATTGCTTATGTGCCAAAAAATAAAATGGAATTGAATCAACGTTATTATATACAAAGAAATCCATTATCTTAAAGAAGTGAAAAAGAGGTGATAAAGAGGTGATAAAATCTGCATCATGAGTTTTGTTTAGGTCAAATATAATTCAAAAATTAAAAATTCAAATGTCAATAATACAAAAGTTTTTCCTCTTGCAAAGACAATATGGGGATATCCTGCATATTCAATTTTTAACAATAAAATGTAACTTTTCCTAAAAAAATATTAATTTATTCAAAACAAACTAAATACAGTTCATACCAAATAAACTGTTAGACACGTGATTAAGCTTGACCGGCACAGCGTTGCCCACTTTTATATTTATTATTTTCTTTTAATCAAAATATTTTAAGGAATAAAAATAAATTAATTATGAATATACAGGGTGCTACAAATTCGAGGTACGAGCATTGGTATCTCGGAAACCGTAATAGATACGAAGATGGTTAAATTGGGGCAAAGTTGCGTCTTGGGATGTTCACCAAGATGCTTTCAAAAAAGTTTTTAAAATTTCAAAGATTGCTGAGTTTTTTGGAAAAAACAATTTTTTTTGAAAATCAATTTTATTTTTTCCTGTAGTTACTTTTTAGAAAATCAAAAAACTAATTACATATTCTCATAGCCACTTTATTAGGGCTATCTGACAGTATTTTTAGATTTTCAAATTAGCTGAGAATTTGTGAGATACTTAGGCCGACATAATGTTTTTTAAATACGGACCTGCATTTTTTATTTCAGTTTTTGAAAGAACTCTGTCTTTTGAGTATAATGATATGCCACACTTTATACTTTTTTTTGTTTTGGGTATCTTAACAACAACAAAACTATTTAATTATTATTTAAAATATTTTCAAATCCGACCCTGGTTTCTTAAAATATTTAATCTGATTATATTCATTGCAATAATATTGATCAGCGCTAATTAACATTAAGTAAAGAAAATCAAGCTATTTGAAGAAAGATTCAAACTAATAATATCCAGCTCAGCAATTTAAAGATATTATTTTTAACTTTTTTTATTGTAAATTTGAAATTCTCAGTATACGATCTAACAATATGCATAATATTAATCGTAGTTATTATAAATAAATCACATTCTACAAACTAGTTTCTAATGCTCTACATGTTCGAAAGGGTTACCACCTTGCCTATTGCGCAAATTTATTATTCTTTCAATTTTATTTATAGCTTTTTGAACATATCTTCTTCTTATACTTCCGAATGCATTTTGTACTCTTTATTGTAAATGTTGAAAAATATTGATTCCACTTTTACAAATGACGTCAAGTAATGCAATTATTTTTTTTATTGAATTTGATTTTTCGTATTCAATGTTTTACCCCACGTCATAGTTAAGTTTGAAGGCTTATCAATATTGTAACGATGAATAATTTAAATATTTAAAAAACACAGCCGGACTTGAGATTAGTTTAAATAAATTTTGTGTTCAAATGTCCGAAACAAAAAAAAGTATAAAGTGTGGCATATTATTGTACTCAGGAGACCGAGTTCTTTCAAAATCAGAAATAAAAAATGCAGATCTGTATTTAAAAAATTGAGTCGGCCTCTGTATCTCACAAATTATCAGCTAATTTGAAAATCTAAAAATACTATCAGATAGCCCTAATAAAGTGGCTATGAGAATGTGCAATTAGTTTTTTTTATTTTCTAAAAACTAACGACAGGAAAAAATTAAATTGATTTTCAAAAAAATCCGTTTTTTCCAAAAAACTCAGCAATCCTTGAAACTTTTTTGATGGCATTTTGGTGAACATCCCAAGGCGGCAACTTTGCCCCAATTTAACTATCTTCGTATCTATTACGGTTACCGAGATACTAATGCTCGTACCTCGAATTTGTAGCACCCTGTATAAACACTTATTATTTACACCAACAAAACTCACCTTTTTAACAGAATTAAGGGACATAAAGGGCCATTACTACCGCTTTCCCTTTTAAAATATTCTAATAAAGTTGCGATGAGTTTTTTACAGCTATTAAGCTATCTTGTACCACTTCGCACTAAAAGAGGTTCTAAAAAGAACAAGGTTCGACTGCAAGGTCTGCTAGTAAACATTTTCAAGCTTAAAGTATCACAACCCTATTTATTTAAACCAAAAACTCGTAATACAAAACTAAAGTGTCAAAACAAAAGACAATGTCAGGAAATAAATAAATAAATGCAGAAACCTGACATTTTTTTACAGCAGGGCTACCACCTGAATCTCCAGCGCCAAATTTAAATTCCAGTTAGTCAGCGCGGCGCTGAATTTGTCCATGGTAGGCAACAATGAATTTAAAAATCGCGCCCTCGATTACGTAACTTAAAGTTTAATTGATATGAAATAAACAGGGTGTCCCAGGCTGAGCGTGCATTAGAAGTTTCTAGAGAACTACAACATCTAGCTCGGAGATTTTTTGCACATCATAGTTTCACAACGAGATCTATCGAATGAAAATATTTTCGATATGGCGGCACTTCCGGAAATACGGGAAGTTGACAGCAACTTTCTTATTTTAAATGGATACCCCCATTTTTTATTAAATACTTAAATTCTGTGCAAAATTTTATGAATTTTGATATTAAACACTTTATGTCTAACATTGACCGTTTTTGAGAAAAAAACATTTAAAATTTTTGAACTAACAAAACTGCCTGTCAAAAATATATGTATACCCTAAACGGCAAATTGAGTAATTACCACAGCCACTGTGCCATAAAGAGAAAACATGTGGCTATCTATTTCAAAAATTAAATTGTTTGAATGTCATATTATAATAACAGCCGCAGCTGTCATAGAATTGAGCGATTAAAAAATTATAATAAATCATTTTTTTCAAATGGAAACCCACTTTTTTATTTCACTAATCAAAAGGCTTTTCAATTCGTTACTTTTTGACTATACATGTTCCTATACCTAAAACAAATCGTTTTTAAGTTATTTAAGATTTAGTTTTAAAGCGTATATTTTTCTTGATGTTAACCAGTAGCCTATGACTTTAAATGTCAAGTGATGTAAAACAATAGATCTGGCAATGTCATATTGTGACGCTTTGTTCAAAAAGCAGCATCCTTTCCGAGCCATCCTTGCGCTGTTTTTTTTTTTCAATCATATGGAATATTATTAATAATACCAACATTAGATCACTAAAGAGCGAAATTACGAGATATATTTTTATAAATACACTTTTTAAACTCTTAAGGCAGGCAGTATTTATAATATGGGCAATTCAAATAATTGATTTTCTGACAGAAGGAAATAAATTGTCTGACCGTTTGACACTTAATGTCAAAGGAAGCTAGATTAAATCAAAAAAAAAATATACGTTTTCAAATTAAATCTTAAATAACTTGAAAACGATTTATTTTAGGTATAGGAACATGTGTAGTTAAAAAGTAACAAATTGAAAAACCTTTTCATTGGTGAAAAAAAGGGGGTTTCCATTTGAAAAAAAAATATTTATGATAATTTTTTAATCGCCCAATTCCATGACAGTTACCGCCATTATTATATGACATTTGAACAATTTAATTTTTGAAATAGATAGCCACGTGTCTTTTCTTTATGTCGCAGTGGCTGTGGTAATCACTAAATTTGACTTCTAGGCTATAGAAATTTTCTTGACAAGTAGTTTTTTTCGTCCAAAAATTTTATATATCTTTTTTCTCAAAAACCGTTAATGTTAGGTATAGAGTGTTAACATCAATATTCATAGAATTTTACAGAGAATTTAAATATGTAATAAAAAATGGGGGCACCCATTTAAAATAAGAAAGTTGCTGTCAACTTCCGGTATTTCCGGAAGTGCCGCCATATTGAAAATATTTTTATTCGATAGGTCTCGTTGTAAAACAATGATGTGCAAAAAATCTCCGATCAAGATATTGTGGTTCTTTAGAAACTGCTAATGCACGCTCAGCCTGGGACACCCTGTATATGAGTATCAGATTAGAGAAGTATTATGCTGGTAAACGGGTTCCTATTACTTATTTTTGTTTCTATCACGAGAAATGGGTTAACTATTGGTTAAAAAACACGATTGTTTATCTAGATATGGCTGAAAATTGGTATATTTGTGTAAAATTCCGAGAGAAACAACTTTTTCAAATAAAGTTTTTCAATATTCGGCCCATTTAAATCTGACAGATATCGAAGAGCAACAGGATACAGTTTCTGTTGTAATTTTCAAGCCTTCTGAAGGCAAATTTTGACTTCAGAAACAACCTTGCAGATATGTCTCCGAAAGTCATATCAATAAAAAGAAACTTAAACCAATATGGTAACACCGTTGTCGGCAGTTTCATTTCCACAGTCATATAGTTTACAGAAATTATGCTTACACCGTGGTTTTCTTCTCTGACGGGGAAGCTCCATCCAGCAATATAACCAACTTCTCCCAATAATGCCTCTTCCTCAGTAGCTAGTTCAGCAATCTGAACTTCGTCGGTAATGTTGACTGGATGAGGAAGTTCAATAATAGCGATGTCATTTTCGTAAGTGGTTGCGTTGTATCCTTCATGTTCGTAGACTTTGTTGATGGGAATGATACCGTAGCTTTGGACAAAATCTTCAAGCATGTACCAGTTGTAGACACCGGCGTATACTCCTAGCGAATGGATCCTATTAAAATTAGAAAAGTGGTACTAAAATAGCTATTTATATAACAAGTTGCGAAATGAATATGTTTTAAGCACGGGACGCAAAATTGCCCAACGAGGCGAAAGCCGAGTTGGACAATGCGTCTAGTGCTTAGAACACTCTTTTCGCAACTAATTTCATACAAGATTTTTTGAGAAAGCAGATAATTTGAGATTTTCATGCTATTATTATTATTTATTTTTAAACATTTTTAAAATGTTCGGGTAATCTTATCTCGTAAATAAAGTTTAATGACAAAGTTCTGTCAGGTTCAAACGTCGCCGTATTTCCTACAAAGTTTTGTGAAAAAATGAGTGATAATGACGAGTCTTTGGATATTTAACAAGCTGCTGAAACTGCGCTATCCACGTTAGTGCACGAGAAGTCGATAAACTTATACGAGACCACCTACAACAACTTTGAAACCTGGGTCAAAGAAAAACATGTGTGAACATGAATTTCACAGAAAAGGTATTTCTTTCCTGAAGTTATCCTATTTCCTGAAGTTATCCACTACCTTAAAGCCGTCAACTCTGTGGAGTAAATATTCGATGCTCCGCACCATGATTTGCCTGAACAGAAACGTATACAGGGTGGTCCGAACTGTATTCCGGAAACTTCGGCAGCGTATTCTCCAGATAAAAATAAGTAAAAAAGTTTATATAAATATATGTCCTAAAATGATTAGTTTCGGAGATACACAGTGTAGAACTTCCATTTTTATTTCGATTTTATCCAAATCATTTCTGAAGTAACGTCAATAATTGGATGAAAATTGGTGTCTGGGAGTTTTTTGACATGAGAAATTTGATTTTGATGTCAATATGACTCCTATTTGTAGGGGGCGCCACCTACATGTGCATTAACTGGTTTGAAGAGTAATAACCTTTCGTCCGTACCTGTATAAAATTACTGAGTAAAAAAATATAAATTTCCGTGACTTTTTACGTAAAAAATGTCTCTTGGTAAAAGTCGCTATGAACAACCGTTTTCAAGATATTTAGAATTGAAATAGTCAATTCATGCCATTATTGACAAATAATTATCATGTTGGGTAGATAGTTAATTCACTGAAAATAATAAATTTGGGAAATTTCTATTTTTTTTAAATTGATCATAAATTTTTCTGCAAAAAATTATGATAAAACAGTTTCTGTTGAACTTTTTGCACAAAATGATTTCAAATTTTTGATTTCAGTCTAATAACTACTTAATCAACATGATGTCAATGATGACAGGTTTTGATAATTTCGATTCCAAATATCTCGAAAACCATTACTCGCAGCGATTTTTACCAAGAGACCTTTTTCACGTAAAAAACGTCGTTAATGTATATTTTTTTACTCAGTAGTTTTATACAGGTACGAACGAAAAATTATTTATCTTCAAAACAGTTAAATCACATGTAGGTGGCGCCCCCTACAAATGGGAGTCATATTGACATCAACATCAAATTTCTCATGCCAAAAAACTCCCAGACACCAATTTTCATCCAATTATTGACGTTATTTCAGAAATAATTTGGATAAAACCGAAATAAAAATGGAAGTTCTACACCCTGTTTCTCCAAAACTAAGCATTTTAGGACATATATTTATACGAACTTTTTTACTTATTTTTATCTGCAGAATATGCTGCCAAAGTTTCCGGAATACAGTTCGGACCACCCTGTATATTAGCAAATTCACAAACCTTATTGCATTTTAAAAAAGAAAAGCTTCATAAAAAAAGGTTGAAAAAGGTTCTTGTACCATTGCGTCATTGTATTTAATAATACCTAAATGTTTCAGTAGGCCCTAAGATTTAATGTGCGTCTTATACCCAGTTTAAGATAATTGAAAAGGAAACTATGTACTTAGATTTTTTCAGTTTTTTACCATACCAGATCAGATTACTTAATCTGATATATTATAGGAATGAACACACTGGCTTAATACCTTAATGTCGATTTACATAAATTTCTATAGTATTATTTTGGAGAATTACTTACTTTACATATTGATTGGTCGTATGTAAGCACTGAGCTGCAGTCAAAACGTAATTTCTTGAGATCAATACTCCAACACATTGTATATAATCATACAAATCAATTGCAGGATACACTATTACATTCCATGGGGTCGAATGGGCTTCTTGGATAGTACCATTGGACACTGCCAACGCTGCACTACAAACCGAGAGAATTACTAAAGCGAGGCTTAGGCACTTCATCTTTTTTAACTTTAAAGTTAAAATGTTGTATCTAAATTTATATATTGCTATATTTATATCAAAAAATTGAAGTACCTACACGATTCATAACGTCGTTATCTTTAATGTCAATTATCTTCTTCAAGTATTTGAAATGATATTAAAGAAATAAAGAGGAAAATACGCCTTTACAAGTATAGACAAAATTTTAATAAATAAATGTTATTTTAATGAGAGTAAGAACAAAATAGCTTAAATAACTTATGGTTTTTCTAGATCTAATGATAAGTTTCTAGTTGTCGCTTTGCTGATAATAGATGTAATCTTGAACATTAAATGTATATTATTAAATATATATAACGATAAATATTCAGGAGACTGTCTATTTGAAAAGCAGTTTTGAATTCTACTGGAATGTGTCTATTGGAATTTTATTAATTACATGTTGTTTAATACAAACATTTATATTATAATATACTTTAATGTAAAAAGACGTCTATACAGATTAGAGGTGTGTAGTTCGTGAAAGAGGTAGTTCCAATGAACTATTCCGATCCCGGAACGAAAGGAACTAGTTTCCGGTTTCTTAAAAGACTAGTTCCTCAGGACCTATTCCGAGAACCGAGATATAATAATATTGGACGGCGACGGATCGGCCAGCGCCATCGTAGCCCGATGCTAGGCGGAATTGGGGATGCCAGCCATATTTTATCGGTCCCGAACCGAAAGGACCGAAAGGAACAAGGGAAACTAAGAACTAAATAAAATACTAGTTCACTGACTAGTAGACCGATGCTAGGTAGGAGTGGAGGTGCCAGCCATATGTTACCAGTCCAGAACTGAAAGGAACTAGAGGAACTAATTAAAAGACTAGTTTACGGGAATCTATTCGGTCCGCAGTGCCGAAATATAATACAAGGCGATGTAATTACCACAGAAAATTGTCGTGGATACTCTTTTTAATTTTTAGTTTGTGCTTTGAATATTTTAGGGGAATGTTTCACTTTAGGTCCCCTCAAGTTATGATATAGCTTATAAAACGAAGTAGATATTCTGACTTTTTAGATTAGAAAATAAAATTCTCGAAGTGAGGAAAATGCAATTTTTTGTAAAATAAGAGAGACAACTTTAACTTCATATTTATCACTTAGCTTCACCTACATGTGTCAGTATTAAGTTATTAATTATTTGCTTCAATTGATTTGTGACATAGTTTTTTAAACTCTGATTTGAGTTTTTTTGTTTTGATCTGCAATAAAACTTATGTACATATTTTTAATAATACACAATTACACGACTCGTAATATTTCGTACTTTATAAAAGTTATACAGATCATACTATGAATAGTTCTGACTTACAACGAAACCCATAAGAAAGCAACGACGATGTCAATGTTAGTCGGAAACTAATATGAACTAAGGACCTAGTTCAAGGAACTAAGTCTCTAGTTCTCTGAAGGAACTCTGGAGGAACTAGTTTCTTCCCAGGAACTAGAATTCCCACCTCTAAATACAGATAGGTGTTTAAGGTCCTGTTCCCAGAAGAATCTCTGACTAGTCAGCGCGTTTCTTATTGGTTGAAATACGTAGAAACCTGACTAACAATCAGGTTTCTACGCATTTTAACCAATGAGAAACGTGCTCACTAGTCAGGGATTCTTCTGTGAACAGACCTTAAGTTATCATCTATAGTTATTTCTAACTTTTTTCGATCATACTTTGTTATGCTAAAAAACTTAATTTATCTAGAGTGCCATTGAGTTAATTATAAAAATACTTATCGGTATAAATAAATAATTGAATGTTTAAGCATGTTATGATAGAATTATGCTGTAATGTTAAGTATCCCTACGTTATTTTTTTGTGAATAGTTAGTTTCATTTAAAATAGTTCAGTTGAGATTTATGCCTAGTCTAGTATATTTTGATCCTATAGATTACATACTATCTTAAATTTGCGGGATTCTGGTAAGTATATTATTAGAAGCTTCTGTTTAACTTGCAACGTATGTAAGTTTGGTTAGGTTGTCCATTCAAAATTCTGCAAGCCATCTGTGATATAACCTTTGACGTGCTTCTTGGTGATTTTGGTGTCTGATGACAGGAGGAAGTATACCTCTTGAAACGTTAGACTTTTGTGTGTTAAGCAAATTTGTTGTGCGAATAATAGCCACTAGCAAACCATTTTCCGTTTGGATTTTACGTAGTGGTGTTTACAATATATAGTATATTGTTTTATTAGGAGTAAAAATGACTTTGTGGCAAGGCTGTACGTTTAACATACAGCCGAAGCACAAAAAGTCATTTTTACTCCGAATAGAATATGCTATTTTTTTCAAACGCCACAAATTAGATTTTAAACAATTTCAAACGTTCCAAATAATATAAAAAAATTTAAAATTCATATCTTGTAAAAGATTATATATCGAGAAACTATGATTACGCTCGTTGAATTTGACACTTTATGTCAGTTTAATAATATATTTTCGAACTTTTATGCTTGAGCGTAAAAGTGATTTCCTTTTATGCCTACGCGTTAAAATTACTTTTTTATATTGTCAATCACGTCGCAAAAACTAATACTTTTGAGAGAAATATCCAGGAATTTTTCAGAAAATAAACTCGCTACAAAGTTATAGCCATTATTTAGCATTATCAATATTTTTTCAACCATCCACAATCCCTCCTATTGAGTAAATTTAATTTTTATTGAAAAGCTATGAAATGGTAAGAAATGTTTTTTAAAAACATTTAAAATTGTTTTTAATTTAAATTTATTTTCTAATACCATTCCAAGCATTTCCCGCAGAGACACTCTGTATTTCCTATCTACGTAAAGCATCTAAACCGCTCAATTCCATAATGAAAATATGCAATAAATAAGTAAAATTCTTTGTTAAATATATAACTAACCAAACCACTATTAGAACTGGCTTTATTAAACCATCAGATACATAATGAATAGTTCTGGATTCTTGTACACTTTGCGAAAATATTATTATGTATATCTTTACGATCTAGGTTAATTGCAAACGGCATTTAACATTCCACAATTGTGAGTAATATGGCCCTGTCTGATATCCGAGACAACATTCTTGTGTAAAGGTCGAATTTTCTCACTGCTACCTGTCGTTTTTTGCTTGAGGATCGTGATCAAAACACTTGAAAATAAAGTATAATTAAGGAGGATTATAAAGTAAACAATAAACCTTTATTTTTTATTGGTCTGGAGTACCAGAGAGTAAATTATATACTATATATTTTTTTAAAATCTTACCATTAGTATTCACTTTTTTGATTTATTGAAATAATATTAACTAAACTTTATTGTAAGATATTTTAATTTTTTATTGTTTGTTAATTGGTGATATTTTTACAAAATTGAAAGAAGTTATATATTTCGAATATCTCACTGAAATTATTACGTTTTAATTGGATCATAACATTTTCTGCCTCCCATTTCCCACTCCCACTCCAGGTTACGGATGAAGTCTTCTAGGTTCTTCAGTTCCGCTTTTAGTTGATTTCCGCTTGGAAAACAGAACGATTCTGGTTGAGATAATTGAGTGTTTGCTCCGTTTCTAGCTAGAACGATTGCTTTTTCATTACCAGATGAAAAAGCAATTGACCTTCCAAGCGGAAACCAACTAATAGCGGAATTGAAGAACCTGGGAGACTCCATCCGTAACCTGGAATGGGAGTCCACCAACAGTCTAAGACACTCGAAAAAGTTCCTCAGAACTTACGAACGAGTAAAATCAAAGATTTTCCTTGATTTAAGTGAAAACAATCTTCGGATTGTCACGGGGTTTCTAACAGGAAACTTCTATGGTCTCTTCAACGAACACCTCAGTATCCAATCAGTATGCTGAAGCTGAGAAAGACGGCGAATGCAGATTCTGTGGGGAAAATGGGGAAATACTAGAGAAACTTATCACTGAGTGCAACGAGACGACGACCGTTCGTGTCATGAACTTTGGTACGGCTGATGTCGAGAAAGGAGAGTTGGCCTTTGTGCTGAGATTGTATGATGAGATACAACTCTTTAGAACCCAATAAAGGGGAACACACAATAGATCTGTAAGATCGCGGTGATTAAAATCCCTCCTAAACATTCTACATTCATTGCCTTCTATCTTTTGGTGGGCTAGTACCCAGAGTAGGGGGACTTTATTATCTATGCCTATTTTTTTCAGCTTCTCTATTCATTCTTTGATCAACTTTGAATTGATGGTTAATCAGTTGATCGGTTTTAATGCTACTTGAATATCAGTTAAGCTGGCTATTTCTTGTTTCCGATAGTTCTTCTAAATTTAAGATGAGTTGTACGCATCTTTCAATAGCGTAGATTTCTGTCTGAAGAATGCTGGGGTAGTTAGGTACCCCTAGATTCGAAGTATTTAGTTTTTGGCCTAAATACTCTTATCCCTGTACCTGCTTTGGGTTTGGAAGCATCAGGATACGTACATGGTATGGGCTTTTACCTCCTGAGCAAACGTTTTTCTCTTCCAATCTTTTTTATTGCTCATTGCTCAAAGTTCTACATTCTTGATATGTCATCCACTGGGAATTGATGGAATGAATTTTTCATTCTGAATGTGTTCTAAGTATTTTTGACGCATGAGTAAATATGTAATATTAAGAGCAAGCTAGGTATCAAGTTATAAAAAGTTATGTATGAATAAATATTTGATGAAAGAGATTACAAAAAAGTGAAAAAAGTATTGTAATAATATATTTTTTCTACAAACGTCAAAAAGTGACAAGGTTCGCGAATTGATAGCAATGTGCGAAGTGACACTTTTTTTCATTTTCCTACCTTACCATGACACGGTGCGCGAAGTAATGCGCGAAATGCCTACTTCACACATTGCATGTAAATTATATGGGATTTTGGAATTTTGATTTTTGGAAAATGAAGAACTATATCATAACTAATTATTTATTTCGAAATATTCAAGAATAAACAAATAACAAATATCAAACTTAACACTAATGCATATTCTAGTTATTATTTACAATATTAACGTTAGTACAACCAGTACACGAACCAATATTTAATCCCAAAC